GGTCAGCGCCGCGGCGCGCGCGACCAGTTCGGCCAGCTTGGGGTTGGGCGCGTAGACCGACTGCAGCACCGGGTGGTTGACAGCCTGGGCGTCGAGCACGCGACCGCTGGCGTCGAGCTTGAGGCGGCTTTCGGTGATCCAGCCGCCGTAGCTGCCGGCCTGCACGACGAGGCGGCCGTCGATCTTGCAGGTGTAGGCCTGGTGGGTGTGGCCGCCGACGATGATGGCGTAGGCCGGGTCCAGCCGCTTGGCGATGTCGTGCACGCGGCCGGTCAGCGTGGGGCAGGCGTATGTCGCATCGTTGGCACTGGCGCCCAGGCCCTGCACGCCGCCTTCGTGCATGACGGCCACCAGCACCTGCGCGCCTTCGGCCTTGAGCTGGGGCACAAGCGCGTTCAACGTGTCGACTTCGTCGGCGAAGCGGATACCTTCGATCGCCTTGGCGACGATGACTGTGGGAGTGTCCCGCGTCGCGACGCCGGCGATGGCGACCTTCAGCGCGCCGGCCTGCCGGATGACGTGGGTGGGCAGCAGCGGCTTGCCGGTCTTGGCGTCCAACACGTTGGCGCCGAGGTAGGGGAAGCCGGGGCCCCGGAAGCCGGGCCAGACGCAGTCGCCGGGGCCGCACTCGCCGCGCGCCTTGCGTAGCAGTTCGGGCAGGCCGGCGTCCAGTTCGTGGTTGCCCAGGGCGCTGGCCGAGATGCCGAGCTCGGACATGGCGGCCAGCGTCGGCTCGTCGCGCAGCAGGTTGGAGATCAGCGGCGAGGCGCCGATGAGGTCGCCGCCGGCGATGACGACGGCATCCGGGTTCTTCGCCTTCAGGTCGGCCAGAGCCGTCGCGAGGTGGGCCACACCGCCGGCGGGCAGCGGCTTGACCTCGCCGGTGACGGGGTCGGGCAGCCGGGGCATCAGCGGCGTGGGTTTGGCGGGCTGGATGTTGCCGTGGAAGTCGTTGATGGACAGCAGCGTCAGCTCCGTATGGGCGGTGTTGGCGGCGGGCGGCGAGGTGGCGCAACCGGCGAGCAGCGCTGCGGCGACTGCGGCGGCGATGGCCGTGGCAATGGGGCGAAGGGGCATGGCGGACTGAATTTGACGGGTGTGTAGATCTTAGGAGGCCGCACGCCAAAAGCGATTTGTCGCGGTTTCGCGACAGTTACGGAACTTGGTGCGGCCGGGTGACAGGCCCCTGCAAACAACCCAGTCTGGTGCGTTTGCAAGCCCCTACAACACGTCATCTTCCTAGGTAAAAGTCACGTCCAGATGACTCGGGGCAACCCTGGGTACCGTACTTTTGCAGGCACTGATTTGGTGCCATCGACGTCTCGCGCACTGTAAAAAAACCGACTTCTGACTTACCCGTAAAGTTCTGTCACAGAAAGTCATGACAATTCCAGGACGGTCGCGAAATGGCCCGTCGGCCCGCTGTCACAAACATGCGGCGCCACCCGATTTTGTTAACGCCCGCGCGCAGTTGCGCGCCCACAGGAGTCACATCAATGAAGAGCAGACTGTTCTGCAAGACGGCCACCGCCCTGGCTGTCTCCGTGCTGGCCACCGGCCTCGTGTACGCCCAGGAGGCGGCCAAGGAAGAAGCCGCTCCGCGCGCCAAGGACGACACCGTCCGTCTGGGCACGATCTCGGTGGTGGGTTCGAGCGCCAAGCTCGGCACCGGCATGATGCTGAACGATGACTCGGTCAAGGGCCGCAGCACGATCACCAAGGCCGCGATGGAAAAGGAACTGGGCACCGGCAACGTGCTGCAGAGCATCGCCCAGCTGCCTGGCGTCAACACTTACAACTATGACTCGACCGGCCTGTTCGGCGGCGACGTGAGCATCCGCGGCTTCGGCTCCGACCAGATCGGCTTCACCGTGAACGGCGTGCCGGTCAACGACTCGGGCGGCTATGCCTTCTATGCCCAGGAAATGATCGACAAGGAAAACGTCTGTACCGCTTCGGTGGCTCAGGGTTCTCCCGAGCTGGAGTCGCCCAACAGCGGCGCCACCGGCGGCAGCGTCAGCATGGTCACCTGCGACCCGAGCGACACGCGCCGCGCGCGCTTCACCCAGACCCTGGGTGGCCTGAACCTGAACCGCACCTTCGTCCGCGTGGACTCGGGTCGTTTCATGAACAACATGGCCAAGGTGTTCCTGAGCTACTCGCACGCTGAAGTCGACAAGTGGAAGGGCGTCGGCAAGGCCAAGAAGGACCACATCGACGCCGGCTTCTCGCTCGACCTGAACGAGGACAACAAGATCCTGGGTTCCATCCTGTACAACCGGATGGTCAACCAGAACATCTGGAGCGTCAGCAAGGCCCAGATCGCCGCGAACGGCTACGGCTTCGACTACGCGTCGACCTTCACCCCGCTGAAGACGCCGGCCGGCGGCACGGCCCAGACGGACGTCGTCCAGTCGCCGCTGTACTACGGCATGGCCCTGAACCCGTTCAAGAACGTCATCGCGTCGGTGTCGGGTTCCTTCAAGCTGGCCGAGAACACCTACCTGAAGGTGCAGCCGTACATGTGGTACGGCTTCGGCAACGGCGGCTGGTCGCAGATGATCCTGGACGAAACCGGCGCAACCGCCGTCAGCAGCAGCAGTGGCAGCAGCCTGCTGGGCGGTGCCGTCGACATCAACGGCGACGGCGACAAGCTGGACAAGGTGGCCGTGGGCCGCGCCAGCGTCACCAAGACCAACCGCCCCGGCGTCACGGCCGAGCTCAGCACGACGCTGGGCAACCACTACCTGAAGGCAGGCCTGTGGTTCGAGCGCGCCCAGCACATCCAGACCCAGCCGGCCGTGCGCATCAACGCCGATGGCATCCCGGCGGACATCTGGCTGCAGGACGGTTGCATCAAGCGCGCCGACGGCAGCTGCTATGAAGGCCGCAACACGAAGACGATCAGCACCGTCACCCAGGTCTACCTGAACGACCAGGTCACGCTGCTGAATGACCGCGCGTTCATCAACTTCGGTCTGAAGCTGCCGAGCGTCACGCGTGACGTGACCAACTACCGCAACGAGAGCGGCAACCTGTCCTACACGGTGAACCCGACCACCGGTGCCCTCGTGGCCGGTGCCCGGGTCTATCAG